GGGGGGCTGGGAAGCTTCACACTATTGTTATCTTGTAAATATTACATAAATATACAGCTCTTGTTGCATGTCAGGGGATTTCCAAAACCTAGCATCTACCGTTTCATTTTAGTGACAAAATTAAGATAATATTAGCACTGGAAGTCGTACCTACAGACTAGTTTTCCCATCTCTTTTGTTCTATCGATGCTGTTGTCATTGTTTCTGTCGTTGTTGTTGTTGTTGCTAATGTTGTTGTTGTTGTTGTTGTTGTTGTTGTTGTTGTTGTTGTTGTTGTTGTTGTTGATGATGATTATAGTAGTACTGTTGTTACTATTGTGTCCTTGAGAGAGGCACTCTACGCGACTTTCCCCCAGCTGTTCATCTGGGTGTGATGGGTATCTGTCTATAGACAGCGAAAGGACTTATCAAGTTGCTAGTGTTTCAGCCCTTAATCAGCTGCTTGCATTGTGTTAGTTTTTACTAACCTACCTTAAATGTACTTACTGAGTATTGAAAGAAAGTTCCTCGAAAGTGTACCCTGTAGCCTTAAATTTGTCTCTATTGTTCACAGACCTCCTACCCCGCCGGATCCAGACCACGCTAACCCAAACGTGGTACAAGAGTTCAATCTGCTGAAGAACAAAGGTAAACTTTGATTCAGGGGATTGGTTTCTTCTATGTCTATAGTCATTTTTTCAAAAAATATTTGATTTTGTATTTGTATTTGTTTTTGAATTTGTATTTGTGTTTTGTATTTTATAACACCTAAACGGACGTCTGTGATGTTGCGGTTTAGTACTGTTTAGTCTTCGTCTACTTTGGGTTTTCCACTAAATATTTGTATAAATGTGTATTTGTATTTGTATTTGTTTGTATTTCTATTTTCTATTTGGTAACGCCAAAACTGTCGTCTATGGTGTTGCAATTTAGTGCTGTGCTGTTTCACACCGAAATATAGAGTTCGATTCCGGTGTTCTATAATGAAACTTCTTTTTTTTCTTTTTTTTTTGTAAATTGCAAATTACCCTCAGTATTTGTACCAGTGCCGGTTTGGCTACCTCAATTTTCTGTGCTTTTTAAAAACTTTTGTACATTGATTTATATATTTTTTAACGAAACAGGATTGTTCTTAAATGGGAAAAGTTGTCAGAGTAACCTACTAAAATTTCATGATCTCTTGTTCTTTTATTCACTGAAGGAGAAATAAAAACAGATTTGTTCCTACTAGTGCAGGGGTATGAGGTTGAATGTGCGACCCCCACCTTTTTATCCCCCCCCCCCCCCGTTTATGAATTTTGGACCACTTGTCCACATACCCCGTTCATTCATACCCCGCCGTTTATTTGATACCTTAGACTTAAGGTAGGGGGGGGGGAGAAGATTGATCAGGTGCCTTTGTCCTTTTCCTGGGATAATAATCCTTCACAGCCGGGGTTGTCCCTGAAAGACAGGGTCAAATCCCGCCTCTTAAATGATCTAATTTGTGTCGATGAGAGCTCCAAAACAGCATTCTAGTGTATGTCTGAAAGACATTTAAGTCATAGGTGTGTAGCATTAAACTCATTTTCGCTGATTGGAGTTATTGGTTGCTAGTACACTGGAAATTTTAATTTTTGAGGTTCAAATGCTAAATACTGAAAATAAGAATATAATGAGAGTACACATATTCAAAGAAATGAAACAGTTTTTTATGTCTCCCTTCAAATATTTTTGTTTTCTGGGTTAAGAGCGTTAGTTCGAAAAACGCGCCAACAATGTTATGCAGCTTGTTGGGAATAGTGTATTCTATGCTATGTAAGATTAATTTTGCAGAACTACAGGAAGATTGGTATGAGGATCTACATGTATTATTAACATTTATGGCCCCATTTAGCTGTTTCCACTTAACAGCTTTGAAGAATGTTATGCGATGTGTATGCTTTAATTGTCGTTCGAATTACTGGCTGGCGCCTTGTCAATTTCCTTCTGATATAACTTGCTCTTTTTTTTTTATTCCTGCACCGTAACCTCC